CACAAAAAAAGTCCATGAGACGAAACATAGCTTGCTGAATGCAGTGGAAAGAGCAGTAAAACCCCAGGGCACCAGGTCAACTTCCAGGGCAGAGATCATTCAGTATTTCTACAGTCAAGGTTCAGTTGAATAAGACTGCAGCATTCCTGGGTTTGTAGGCCACAGGAGGGCCTTGGACAATGGCACTCACTCTCTCTGATGTGTACGTGCACCTGCTTGGTGTCATCCTGCCTGTGACACTGGAAACTTCTTTTCAACCTGCAAAAGCAGATTTCTGAAGTATTTCTAATGCATTTCTGTCTGCCATTTCCCAGAAGGGAAAAGGATGAATTCATATGTGGTGGCTAGCAGTTACACAGGAGGCCTGAAGCTTGTGTAAGTGCAGATTTCTTGCATGGCACAGAGAGGTGATGAAGTATGTGCACCCTGGGCCTGCTGATTGGGGTCTGCCAGCATGTCAGCCCTGCACACAACCACCCCGGGCCCCAGGCTCACAGTCTGCAACTCTGTGGCTACACACGAATGTGTGAACCACAGGTGCAACTCCTGGGCTGCAGAGCCTGTGTGACGCTTCTAGCATTTACTGTGTTCTACACTGAGTAGACAGGTTGCAGGAGATGCAACCTGATGTATGTGTGTGTATATATACACAGATATATATATATATATATATAATGATTCACATGCATAATTTTATTGATACCGACATTGAGAAATGAGTAGCAGGAAGAAATGTAGGAAATCCAGATCTTCTTTCCTGTACCAAATAAGACTATGCTTTTTAGTGTTTATTCTTGTTCTATTTGATTTTTTTGGACATTGTTTTAAAAACATCTACTATATTTAGCATTAGGTAGAGAACTATGCTTCACTTGTTCTTTTGGTGTATGTTTGCTGTACACTTTCTTGTGTATGTATACTTTATGTGTACTCTTCTGACTGATACACTTGTATTCTGATCTACACACTGTCTTTCTGACTGACAAGCTGTCTTTCAGACTCAGATACAAAGGATTTCCAAGGATTTAAGATTTTAAGAGATATAGTAAGATTTTCAAAGGGCTGTTCTATGTTCATTATATGTCTTCTCTGCAGAAATGATAAAAAATAAACATGTCCTGTTTCCAGAAAATTTTGATCGCTTTCATTGTGTTTTCCTTCATATTACTTAAGAGTCCAACTTCCCCATATGGCTGAGTCAACAGCTGCTACAAATTCCTTAAAAATGAAGAAATGAAGAAATTTCTGTTTGGACTGTGTATATGCACACCTCAGTAAAAATATTACTATGTCATGACTGTAAGATCCAGCTGTACATTCTTTCAAGACAGAGTAGATTTCAAAGAGTCTTGTTTTGAGGTTTAGGCAAATATCTATGTGAAAATGCTAAACTTACCACTGTCACACAGTTATGCTGGCTCTTTTCTTCATTTCGCCAAGGAAGTGTGAGAGCATGCATCAGTGATCACCACAAAGACGTGAACAGACCACCATATTCAAAGATGTGTATTAATGACATGGTTGTGTAGATTTCCAGTGGGTTTTACTGCTGCTATTTACTGTCTGTGTGATGAAATCCTCAGAGCTCTGGCAAAGTTTAAAGATATTGCAGAAGTTTACACAAACATATGTATGGACCTAAACTGGACAGCTTATATCCATAAAGAGATTTAAAGCATGGCAATGCCCTGCACAATGCTTAAAATCTGGGAAATGGTGGTAGGAACAGAGATGTTATTTGAAAAATGAGAATTTTATTTAGTCCTACTGCTTCTGTACTTTTAAAAGTGACACAAACCCAAGAAACATACTTGCTAGCAGCAAGCCCAAGTGTAAGAGTGATGTAAACTAACACTCATAGAAATCTTTCAGAATACATGTGAAATTCAAAGCACAGGAGACCACTCGGGGACCAAGCAGGAACAAGAGTTTCTGCCACTTTTACCAAAGCAGGCTCACCATCAACCAGCAGTTCTTGACTGTAACCTCTCACTGTCCCCACCAATGAAGAAAGTATACATTTCTAACTTAATCCAGACTGCCACATGGTAAAGCCATCTGGGAAGATATTTTGAAGGAAACAGATGGAAAAGGAAGAGATTCCTCTGAATGTAGTATAAGATTTACATTATCCTCCATGAACTTCCATGTAGTCCCCATGTTTATATAATTTATCACTATTTCCTTAGACAGCTCAGATTAGAAAGCCTGCATGAGCTCATGTTCTTGTTAATTCTGAGTCTGAACCTCCTTACTTTAAAGGGAATTTAAGTACTATAAAAAGAAATCAGAGAAAGGCAACCAGACCTGAGTGAAACCCAGCAGCATGAAGGTCTTGATCATCCCAGGCATTATACTGTTTTACCTCTCCTTCTTTCAGCCTCAGGAAAACATACTGTGTCTTGCTCACAGTGATAAATTTTTGTTCTTTGTCATGCACCTATAACAGCAAATCTGAAATGGTGTGGTACTGTAAGCGTGAGAGCAGGGACTGTTAAAACTAGGAAGGGTTGAAGATAAGTTCAGTGATTTCACTGAACATCCCTTTGTCTAAAGATTAAAACCAGAAATGCTGTCTGTGTAAAGATATGGCATATAAATAATTTAAGGTGTTCTTTCACCACTCAGTTGTGGTAACTGGAGAGATCTAAACAGCCTTCTCTTTCCTTTCATGTATTCTTTTGTGCCTCCTCATTTTTTGCACAAACACTTCCATTACTAATGGGAATGTCAAAGGGCTTTCTTTTCTCAGTCTCACTCTCTTTCTCTCCCTGCAAAGACACTGCTGAGGCACCACTGCAGCAGCAGTGGCATCCAGCTGGTTGACACACGCTTCAGCATCCCTACCAGAATCACTGCTTCAGCAAACGGCCAGGAAAATCCATATGGGGAATGCCAGTGCTTTAGTTCAAATGCCTGTATCATTTTGCCATCAATTAAATCTGTCATTACTTTGTTCTGCTACAAAACAAGAGTCCAGGTCCCCTCTTTGTCCTCCTACACCCCAGCCCAGCCTCAGTCCCAGATATTTCTTCCTCTCTTGCACCCAAGGTTGCACATGGTTATTGTGCAGAAAAAACACTTGCAGGAGTCAGTGCCTGGGGAGCTTGGAAACCTGGCAGCACCACAGGGCCATTGGCAGCAATGGTTTCTGCTAGGCTAGGCTGCATCCATCAGCTCTAGACTCCTTCTTCCTGCTGACCTCAGTGGGATTGAGCTCTGATATGTACCAGAATAAAAGGCAACATTAACAGCTGCCCATGAGTCTCTGCCTCCGGGATTTGGTCTCCTCTCTGCAGCAGGGTTTAACCTCCCTGTCACTCAGGTGGCACAAAAGAGAGAGCTGGCTTTGTGCCCACTGACAGGTTTACTGCCATGTTGTAGTACGAATAACCTGATTGGAGCAGTAATATTTGAAGGATAAGCAAGACATGGAGAGGAAATCTCTTCTATTAGAAGAGCTTGGTGTGTTCTGAATTGTGTTGTGTAGTCAGATCATACATAGTAAGTTGCTGGGGACTCAGGCTGTTTTTTGCATAAGCTGGCCTAACAAAGGACATTACCTCTCCTTGCAAAACTTAACCTTACTTGAAAGTATTACTACATTAATCCTCATCCTGTGTGTTACTTCCACCATTCAGAGACATTATTAGCTGTGCCATGGATTCGTCATTGCTGCAACTATATTGATTTCTTTCATAGAAATCTGATTCCTGCACATGCCTTGGAGAGTTACATCATTTTACCCCTTCAACTCATAGCTAGGATGTTTTCTGTTTCGAATGCAACAGTTCCTAATTCAGATTCCAGTTGATATTATGACAGTGTAGACTGTAAAATAATGTATTAGAACCATAAGGTGGAAAAATGGAAGTATTATTCCTTTCTAAAAGCAGACGTCTTTCCAGAAGAGCAATGGACCCTTTATGCTCTTGACTCAGCTACCATTCATGTACATGGAGGTACAGCAGCACAGCTCATGGACTCTGCTGAGCAGGCATGGACTTGCTCCCATGCCCAGAGGTTTTTCTCTGTTGGTCCACAAATAACAAAGTGTTAGAGTTAGGTTCTTGTGGTTTTTAATACAGGTCAGGCTGGGAGAAGAAAATGAAGTGGATTTTAACTGCAGTTTTTGACTGGTTTCATGACATGTTGTGGCTTGCATTTTTTTTCAAAGTGTTAAAAAAGAATAATACTATCCAACACAAAAGGTTCCAATGTGTTAGTCTTTATGACGTATCCGGTCTGGTTACCAAGTTCAGCCTATTATATTTTCTGGATTTACAGAATCCTTTAGTGTGACGATGCAGAGCAATGGAGAGTCCCTAGGCAGTGCAAAGGAGAGCTGCTTTATTGCAAACCCAGGCCTGTTTAAGCAGTTAGCTGGTTACTAGCTGACACAGTTTTAAGGCACAAACCCAAGCCCACCAAGCACCATACACCATGATGTGAACATGTGGCCGTCACGCCGCATGTCTCTCACGACTCTCGCATCTCTCTACCCCTATTCCTGCTGAGTCACTCTCCCATAGCTCCCTTCTACTTCACCTAAGTAGCAGGCCTGAGTCACAAAGGCCCTTATTTTATAAGGCTTTACCTATATGCAACACAAAGAAAAGCAGAGAGATGAGTTTCATGCATATGCCCCTCCTTGCTGTAATGCAGTTCCCACCTATCCACATTCGGGACACAGAGAGTATTTACTACATGCTGGACTCACACCACAGAAGTGTGCATGTGTGTCTGCATTATCACTGCAGGGTGACCAATGCAGAAGGAGAACAATTCTGAGCAGGCACTGTCCCCTGCTTCCTCCTCTCTTTCCCAAGGGCCACCACATGACTTGTTCTGGTGGTTGTGCCCAGCAAGCCCATAGCTGTTCCCCAGCTCATATGATTGATGCATTTCCCTTCTTTCTTTACAGTAAAAGAAGCCAGTTGAAATACTGAAAAATTATTTAAATTAAAGTAGTCTAAATCATTTAAATTATTTTTTCTTACCTGAGCAGGCTTCTTTTGAACCACTTGTTGAGGCTGAAAAGTAAAACAAAGGCACAGTGAGAAACAAAATTAAGTAAGAGCACTTAACTGTGATTTATGAGTGCTAGGGAAAATATTTTCAGCAATAGAAATAAAACACAGGAAAAGCCCACAGTCAGAAATGGAGAGATGAACATACCCAGCTCTCACACCCAGCCTCTCCTATACCTGTCTAAAACTTTGCTCTGAAGTAGTTCATATTACTGTGGATGAAGAGGAGTATGTTAAGTTTGTACAATTAAAACCAAGGTGCAATCTAATTCAGCATGTTCCATCTTTCAGCTCTTATATGATACCTCTGCATTAACTTATCAGACCATGAGAGAGACCTGATTTTATAACTAGATTTTGTTGTCTCCACTGCTGCTGCTCTCTTACAACATTCTCAACTGTAAGTGGAGTGTCCTGCTGTGGGGAAGCCCTCCCTATTCATCATGAGCAGGGTGAAAGCTCAGGCAGAGAGATGAAGGACACATAACCTCATTCCTGAGCCACAGCTTCCCACTTGACCAAAGACATCCTTGCCAAAACCAAGGAGATTGGGATGGACAGTGGTTCCAGCCCTTGTGAGTTCTGGTTTGAGACTTTCAGCTGCATGAAGGTGATGCTATGCTGACCCTTGCAAGCCTATTGGTGTGATTATGGGGATGCACATCATTGGCCAGGTTGGGTGTGTCCACCTGCCTATGCAGGACCTGGTGGCACCACCATGGATTCTCAGCAAGTGTGTCTCCTGGCTGGTCCCACCCTGGACTGGGAAACACAGTTCTCACATGAGTCAGGAGACCCACCAAGTCGCCGGTGTGCTTCATCCCCAGCCGAGAGGAGTACCAATTAAGGAACAAATACACACATTACTAAAATACACCAGCACTGCCCAGATGATGTGATGACCCTTGTGGGTGCTAGGAGCAGCATAGAACAATAAATCCACAGATAAATGACCTAGAAAGGACAAAAAGTCTTTTCTTACTTCAGTGGGACAAAGTTGCTGCCTGCCTCACTCTGCCGGACATTCTGTTTTTAAAGTCTATGAACTGCACCCAATGATTTTCTTCCTGCCCTTCCTTCCTGCTTTTTCCTAATCCCAGACATTATTTTAGTGCCTTGCTTGGGCAGAAGCCAACATGCCATCCCTCTGCACAGTCAAAAACCTAATTTTCACGACAGTGTAGTAGGAAATAACTGGAATATTTCTGAATAAGCAGTTTAGTGTAACTGGCCTTTCAGAGCAATATTTCAGTGGGAAGGATCAGTGAAAATGTAAATTAAATGTAAATTAAATGTAACTGATTAAATTCGGCTGCCCACCACAAGTGCCCCATTTTAACAAGAGATGCTTTGTTTATTTTCAGTCTTTTTCTAACTCAGTAGAATCCTACTGCTGTTTTATTTTTGTATGTAACAGTCTCCAAGTTCTGCTCTCAAATAAATATGAGAGGAAAAAAACTATCTGATGACTGTATCTGTCTTTGAACTTCAGGGTGGACCCTTTCCTTTCCATTAAATTCCCTTGCAATGGAGAAACTATTATCAAGGCACACATTTTATTGATGCCTTCTCCAGGTGGACTGCAGGCCCTGAACTCATTAATGGACATTTGCCACTCTTGGACAAAGGAATGATTTGTTTTAAAAGAATCTCTTATAATTATAGAACTCATTGAGATCTTCTGTAATCTGCCAATTTTTATTTTCACTTTCTTTTCTTTTTTTTTTTTTTTTTTTTTTTTTTTTTTTTTTTTTTTTTTTTTTTTTTTTTTTTTTTGGCCTGTTGATTACACCTGTACATGTGTCTACTCCCAAACCACATGAAATCCACAGACATTTTTAGAGGCTGACTGTTCTCTCCAGCTTAGAAATCCCCATATATTTTTGGCCGTGCACTCTATGTTCATGTGACTCTCACTCAGTGTAACTCAATGAAATCTTCTGAAAGAACTGCCAACCCACCATATTTTCCATGAATTAGGTCCTGACACTTCAATGAGAGGAAAGACAATGTCTGAAACAAGGCCAGCTCTGGCTTTCTGCCTAGTATGTGTCACAGTAATTCTACCAGCTGCCCTTCTACACAGCAGTTCATACTTTTCAGACCACCAAAAAGCCCCTTGAATACTTTCAGTGATAGCTGGGGCTTGAGTTGCCAGCATGTTTTCCCAGCCTCTGGCACCCAGTGGCTTTGGACTGGACTTCTAAAGTTTTTTTTTTGCATGTGTTTGTTTTGTTTTGCTATTTTTATGAATGGCTTCCACAGGGAACTCTGACTCCAGCACAACGATATCCAGCCATTCATAAAAAGCAGAGGGAAAATATTGTACTTTGCCCAGTTGGAAACTGTCTCTGATACTGACCAAGGCTTTCAAGAATTTTAGTCATTCAAGACCTTTGCTATTGTAGTGCTTCATGTTGAGAGCTCCTTGGCAGTGCTTGCTTACTGACGGCTGGGTTTCCACTGGACTTGGGATCTGGAGTTCAGCATATGTTATGCTTGCTGCCTTAAATGGAAGAGGCTTAGCTATCTATGCAAGCCCAGGAGCAGGGCTCAGTCCCTCAGCCAGTATTAGTGGCACACACCACTGACACCCTGGGAGCTGTGCCCACTCATGTCACTTTGAAGGGTCCAGCTTGTGGCAGCTGAATCACTGCAAATGCCAATTTTCAAAGTCATTGCTTTTCATGCTTCAGCCTGACTGAATAGGAAAGGTGGCTGGACATATAAATTCTGTAAGGTCCAGTCCTGTGAGGACTACTGACTCAGATCACCCTGACCAGAAGAACTGAGGTGCTCAGGAGTAACAAGAAATATTCCAAGCATGCCTTTAATTTCCATAACTGTTGTGGATGTGATGCCTTGGGAACCATTTTGACACACTGTAGATACTAGTGTTTCAATTTGCTAAACTTTGTGTTTACTGTGTTAAAATATCTTTTCAGGGCTTTGAAAGCGACACATCTGATTCACAAGTGTTGCATCTGCATATTCAATTATCTGGAAAGAAAGACAATCTGCCTTGGTTATGGAAAAGACTGGAACTATAAGATAGCCATGGAGAAGAGATTTTAAATAGATGCTCTGGGGTAAAATGAAGTTGTAAGCAAGAAAGGAGAGCTCTGAACTATTATGTATTGTCCATGCTAGAAGCCTGCAGAGTAAGATGGTAGAACTTATACTCTGTCAGAGGCTCTGTCACTTATGTTAGCCATCTTAAGAGAAGATTTGTGCAACACAGCACTTTCACATTTCATGTTTATCCTAGGTTTGAAAAACAGCTATTGTAGACTGCGTGTACACCAGCTGATGTTCCATACACTTGAAAGCAAACTTCAGGGTTTTATACATCATATACAAGTACAAGTTAATACTAGATATCTTTTTTAAAATATGTATGAGACAGAAAATATAACTGACAGTGCTAGAAAAATCCAATGACGAGGTCATTTAAATGTCTATTGAGCAAGAACAAATCCAAAATGCAGTAGTATTTCTTTCGCCGTGCTTAAAATATTGAGTATGTGACCTAAGGCAAAAGATACTAAGTTAAAAGATGAGGGTAATATTCCTAACTTTGAAAAGGAAAAACACCACAAAATGGCTGAAAAGTGGAATTCACAAAATTTTGATGGTTTTAGCTTTGCTGTAAGTTTTGAATGTTAAAAGCCCAACTGTTTATCGTCTATACTTCTTCCATTCCTACTCTGTCACACATCCCTCATTTTATTTTCTTATTTTCACATTCTGTTGCTTTACTTTATGTCAGTGTCATGCATGTATGCTTACAGCTCATACTGGTCAAACAATTTCTTTGCTTTCTGTATGAGAGCAAAAGAGCAGCCTTAAGTGATGAGTTCATATTCATATTGCACCAGCAGTCTAAAGTTGCATCAAATTCAATTTGTCACACTTATCATTCACAGAAGTCCTTCTTACCCTGTGACTTTTCCTAGTGTTATGAAGCTAAGGAAGGAAAATGGAAGGTTAAGGGTAAATCTAGATCAACTACTATGAGCAATGCTGGAACACATTTTTAATTATCAGAAACAAAAGCGTCGGTTTGAATGCAAATCATCCCCTGACTGCCATGCCTTCAGCTCCAAGGGTAAGCTGCACATACATGGTGCTCTTAGATTTTCTGTTCGTGTCTTCTTCTTCAAACTGAGTATTATGAAGATGTCTGATTGATTGGCAACAGTGACTCTTTGTTTTTTTCCAACAGCTTGACACAGATAAGAGATTTGCATGGAGGTAGCTCTGCTGGAGGGACTCAATGGCCATGATGGAAACTAATACCCAATTAGGATGACATTTATAGTGCTGACAGCTCAGTGTTGTGCAGATACCATTAAAATAGATTCATAGGTCATCCAAAAACTTGTAGTTCTAAATTAAAAGATGAGTAAAACCATATTTGGTCTTTTTGTCTATATACCCTTGAAAAATCAGGAAGTTCATATTATACCAGTTGAAACCAATATAATCCAATATAAATCATGTCTTGCAAGCAGTTCCATATGACAGCAGAGTAACTACCATTCTGCCCTACAGCTTTAATTGGTTTGAGTCCAGCCTTTCTCTCCCTCTTCCAGCACAGAATGACACAGTGCTGGGACCAGTGGCCCAAACAGCCTGCCAGGAAACTCTCACCTTCCAGCAAAAGCCACTTGCAGCTTCCTGATCATCAGCAGACATCTTCCTGAAATTGCATGGGATGATGTGCCTGCTATTTACCCCTCAGGTCCAGGTATGCTCATGGCTTGCTTTAGTAATAATCTCCCTTTTGAGGCAGTAGCAGAGCTGCTTTTTTTATCCCATCAGCAGTGAGGGGACTTGTGTTTTGGAAGTACAGGTCATGAATTCTCATGCCTCCATCACATGTTTGCAGTCAACTGGCAACCGTAGTGCCTGTGTATGCACACTGCTGTGGGTCATCAGAATCTAACAGCAAAACCATCTGGTCCTTAGAGTTCAAAGGAGATTTCACAGTTGTCTGTGCA